GTCCCCCTTGAGTAAACATGGGGGTCATTGGGGATATATTGGGATAATGGAAAATAAAATGGAAACTACTATTTAGTGTTTAGGGTTCAAGATTATAGAACCTCACGTAGAAGCCTGAACTTACTGCTGCTTGGGGGATTGGGGGAGCCAATTTCGTATCCACAAAAGGAGGTATATGTGGATTATATAGGGGTTATTACAGGGATCCACTCCCCCACTCTCCCTCAAGCACCAGGATGTGAGGATTCTTCCCTCAGAATCCTTAGGTAGCTGCAGCAGTTTTATCCTTGCCTAAAGCATATTCTACGCAATTGAGTAGGCTCCTACAAGAGCGCTCGCCCTCTTAACCGAAACCAGTGCGGCAGCCCGTGACAAAGCTAGGGCTTAAGAGTTTTTTGGGAGGAGGTATGGAGGCCCTATCACATCTGCTGCCACACAAGCAGGTACTAGGGGTTTAAGGGTTGAGGATTTTACAGATTCCGGAATCTGTACCTCAGAAGGGCACGTAGTTTAGAGATGGACCATCTGCCGGCAGTCCGATCGTCCGATGGCCCATCTATCCATACAACGCGGGCAGTTATACGATTGCTATTCCTATTCCCAATTGTGCGAAGCGGACATGTAGCTCCCTCCCCCGAACAACACCAAAATTCAGCCTCCTAACATGTCAAGCTTCATTATGTTACTTTTCTAAATGTACCACAACGGGAGTATCTGATATTAGGGGATGGGCGATTTACTATTAGGGGATGAAATCCATACAACGTGTCAGGTTCCATGGCTCCATTTGCTTCTGCATTGCTGGGGTTATATCCCTAAACCCTGTATATATATATATATATATCCTATCCAACCCAATAATAATCCGCGTGTAATCCCCACATAACCCCTATATAGCCTTATTCAATCCGATATAACGCTTTATAATCCGATATAACCCCACACAACCCCTGCAGAGCCCTATATAACACAATACTTGATCAGAGGTAGGGGATTAAACCCAAACCCTAAACCCAAACCTGGAACCCTAAACTTTAATCCTTAAACACGAAGCCCGGAACCTCAAACCCTAAACCCTAAATCCTAAACCTCAAAACTTAAACGCATCGCCCAGGCAAGGTTAGCAGCTCTCCTTGGCCTGTTTGGCACGTGCTTGCCATCTTCTCCGACATGAACAAAGGAGCCCCCAAAAGGCTTAGGTGTATATGGGGTTTAGGATTTGGGATTTGGGGCTTAGGATTTCGGATTTGGGGTTTAGGGGGGTCTAGGAGCCCCCCAAGGGCCGACTCTTGTCGATACAATGTTTAGGGTTTAGGCCGAATTCCTAGTAATGGAGATCAGAATGAATTACGGTATTTTTCGGGTGTGGTAGAACGGAGACCAAATGAGCGAAGGTGTACGGCTTGCGCAGGGCTGCGAGGGATTCTTGCTTTGGGGATATACCCTCAAGCTAGTTTACCTACTCAGAGAGGCTATACGCGGATCACGCAAGGATGACGTGCAGTTCTGACGTGCATCATGAATCCTTGGACTCAGGATGTAAATGCAAACTTCAAGGCTTCCCCTTCCATTTAGGGGTGTGCATCAATAGGGGAACTCCATATAAATCTCTGTATGTTATATCCCCTTGTTATTGTAGGCTCCCAATGAAAGGGACCCCCCAGTTTTGGTAAGGCTCCGTGCCGCTTTTTCTGCAAATCGATAGACCATAAACCCAAAACCCCGAGCGCCGCCTGAAGGAGACTGGTACTGGGGCGGCGATCGCAAGTACCTGCGTGGGTATAGTGAAGCCCGTGCCTGTTAGTTCAGCAGTGGCTGTACCTTTTTTCCCAATGCTATGTAGGGACTGAAGAATTGCCAATCTTATGATTCTGGATTTCTTACATGAGATAGTCTCTCAAAATGATATTGGAAGCTGTGTAGGCTCCTGTGGTATGTCCGACCTCAGGACGCTGAGCCATTTGTTTCTCATTGGAATTGGCGGGCATGCGTGTGCATTCCAACGTTGGAACATGTAGGGGCATCTGGGGTGGTATAACGGCCGCCCGCCAGAGGATTATGTCCCGGGGCTCCGCGATAATGTGGGGTCCTGATTAGTGTGGG